CACTGGCGTTAGAACCCTGCAAATCCGCGGAGATCTGCTTTAAAGCCACGGACGTGGATGTGGATTTCTACCGCTTATTTTTGTGGGTGCAGGTATTTGTAAAAGCTGTAGAAACCATTTTCATATTTAGCTAGAAGCCATCTTGTATCTCAAAAACCATTTCAGCTTTTCTCTCAAGCACGTAGACCAGAGTGAACTTTCTGTCACCCCGTGAGAAGAGGCCTACAGGATGGGCTATGGGTACGTGTTAATTGGGCTGGTTGGGACAGGAGATGTACTCCCTCGTACCTGTCCGCCATCTTGTTGATAAGGCTTTGTTCTTCCAAGTTTAATTGAGGATTTCTGTAATTGGATGCCCTGATGTCAGACTGTTTGGCTAAGGGTATAAAGATACTAGAATTAATTGTATTAGCCAGCTTTACCGGGCCTGGCTTTGCTGGGACCACGTTTGGCTCATGCTGTGCTTTATTAATTAATAAAGCTGTTTGTTAGCTGCCTAAACAGAGAGGATCTTTTTTTTTTGCTTCAACATATTGATTGTGTATCCAGAACCCTGCAGATTTGCAGATAGTTGCTCTATGTCCACGGGGATCCGCATCTTCTACAAATTATTTTTGCAGATATGGATGCAGGTACCATTTTTGTATCTTCGCAGGGCTCTGACGACAGCTCTGAAGCGCCTGATGGTCTTTAATGTGTTTATCCTCACACATCCCGGCGAGGCAGGGCAGTGCTAATATCCCCACTGTACAGACGGGGAACTGAGGCACAGAGAGGCTCTGTGGCTTGCCTGAAGTCACACAGGAATTTAGTCCAGGTCTTGGAAAACACGGGGTTGACACTGTAACCTACAACCGCCAGGCACCTTCCCACCAACCGACGGTCTCCAATAAGGAGGCAAACCGGATTCCATCTGCAGTAACTCTTTGGAAAGGTTTCCTTGTGCCTCGGGAGCCTCTGAATTCAGGCAACGCTGGAAGCAGCTAGAAGTCAAAGCGCCCCCATGGACAGGACAGAGAGCTCCGTGCTCCCAGCATCCAGGGAAAGGGGCGAAGGCCTGCCCCAAAGCGCAGTCCAGCTGCAGAACAAGAGTGCGACAGCCTGTTTCCTGTTAGGAAAGGGAGGTGGGTGCACTGGGAGATTCTCTGGGGCCTGTGGGAGAAAGAGAGAAGGCAGCAAGGGACCCTTGAAAAGACGGGAGGAAGCTACAGCCATTTATTCAAAGGCCAGAGGGGGAGAGAGACGGAAAGAGACGGACCTGACCCAAACCCAAAGCAGCCAGGGAGGTTCTCTCAGGCAGCTTCCCAACTCCATTGCTTTAAAATCTCTCGTTGCTATTCCGGCGTGTGAGCTAAGCTGTGGGCGCACGTGAAGAGACCTTGTAACGTGTTACTTCATTGGACAGAATGCAATGAACGCAAGCTGGTTTTCCTGCTCTCCCCCAGGTCCATATATCGCTGGGTACACAGGCCCAGCAGAAGGGGCGCTGACTTGGGCCCCGGTCAGAGGAGAGATTTATTCAACGGCACCTACACGCATGAAACAGCAGACTCAGCTCCAAGGACTCTCAGCTGCTGAGATTTTTGGTGACATCCTTGCACAAGGAAAACGCGCAGACGCCCCTGGCTTTCTTTCACAGCACATCGGGACAGCGACTTCACTAGCACTTTGATTCATTTGTATCTCGTATTCAAACCATTGATGTCTCTCAGTGATCACACGAACAGACATCACAAGGCCTCAGCTGAGCGGTGACTGAAGGTACAAACAGTGGTAAATTATTTAGGGGGCCCTAAAAATACCACAAAGCAACGTATGTTAAAACGAGACGCCACTCTGCTCGCTCTGCGGCGCAGGAGCCATTTTGCAAACTAGCATACCAATCTTCCATTTCCGTCAAGGGTAAAAATGATCACGGCCGCACACGCACATACACACACACAGCAAGACAAAAGCAGCTCTCAGCCGCACTTGATGCACGCCTTTTAACGCTGCATATTATCACAAGGGACCAATACGTCGCATAAAGGACTCTGGACCCCGCACTCCCGGATTCAGGGACCCGACGGGTGTGGAGGGGAGAGGAGAAGGGAAGTTGTCCTGGGGCCTGGCACCGCACTGTGCTGCCGGGACGGGTGGGGCCCGGGCCGTAAAAATGACTTGGGCCAGCGTCTGGAGTCGGGCCCCAGCTGCTTCTGGAGCTCTGCCACACAGTGCCCTGTAGATGGTCGGAGGGAATTTAAAGTGAGGGGCTGTGGTGCCCTGTCACAAATCCCCCTCTTCCTCCAGCAGCCACTAGCCAGCCAGAGACAGTAGAGTGTGCCTGGGCACACCCGGCACACCCCATGCACATGCCTGAAATGGCCCAGTGGCCCAGCAAGCCCATCGGTGGCTCCTTTCTCACGCCCTCCCCCCCTCCCCCGCTGTTCTGGGAGTAGGCCACAGCCAGTGCAGGTCATTACAGAGCGGGAACCGTCCCCTCCTTTGGGATTATGCTCACTGACCACTGTTGGTGCATCATTTATGGCCCTCCTTTGGCATCGCTGGCCCTGGGGATCTGCAAGCGAGATAACCTGCGACAGGCTGAGCCTCTCTGGTCTGGGACATTGCTGGGGGAGAGGGGGAGCTCCCCTGCTCTGGCAAACTGCTCAGGTCCTGAGGATGCCAGACCAGGGAGGTCCAACCTGTGGTGCTCAGTTAGCAGAAAGGCTTGGAGCGGAGGCAACTGTTGGAGGGAGCCGGGGAGATTTTTTTAAATGTGCGTTTGGGACATCACGGGGCTGGAGCCCGGTGGCTAGAATTCCAACTCCTCCCCCTCTCAACTTTACCTACAGCCCCTCA